AGATACATGGGATTGAGCATACAATCATTAAAAGATCTAGTAAAGAGTTGTATGCATTGTGTAGCAAATCACATGAGCAACTTTCAAGGATCGTCTACACATCTACGATAATATAGCAGACACTTATGAAGATCCATCCACGGTTATTAGACCAACATAGATGGCTCTGGGTGGTAAGTGGTATCCTTCGGCTATACTTTTGCGATCGGGTGGTTTTTTTCCTCACCATCCAATAGTTATTAGTACTTTCACAATCAACTTGGCACACACTCACACCCCCGGTTTGGCGAGGTTCTCCTTTCCGAGGGAACAAGGGCATAACATATTGTTTCACAATATAAAAATATATATTAGAGAAAGCATTATTCATTTGCCAACAACAACACGTATATTATGATTATTAAATGTTTAAGCCATGCACCAAGTACACGGTATATTCCGGCACAAGTAGGTACTGCCGATCGAGATGGCCAGTATTACACAGTGTCACAGTATGTGTATCTGAAGCAGCTATATATCTAGCTTACTACATATATTTATTCCTTTATTTATATATTTAGTGTGACACGTTTGGATGGAGCGATCGCGCGCTTGTACGTACTACGTAGTGCCAGACAGCTTGCTCGATTCACCTGTACCTCCGGCCACCGCAGCTGCCCTCCCTCTGGCAGTTGAAGTAGGCGGCGGCCACCGGAGCACCGAGGCCGTAGCACTCGGCCAGGTCCCTGGTGATGAAGTTGGAGCGCCACCCTGGCGCGTAGATGGCCTGCCGCGCTGCCTGCCGGAACACGACGAATGCCACACGGTGGATCCCCGCCGTCGGCTGCGGCTTCTCGTACGCCACCACCTCGGTTCCTGCATGCAGGCATGCACACACGCAAAAAGTTTGATTAATGGTTCCCACTTGACTATCTGTTTTTCGCTAGGAAAGGCAGTTGGAGAGAATAATTGACATGGTACATGTACTCTGTAAATTAGCTTCTTTTTGCGGAATTAAACCGAAGCAATTAGCTTAATCCGATTCTTACCGCGGCTCACGTCACCTCCATCTGGTATGTCTGTCACCATCCTGAATGTAGTCAAGAAATTAAACCAAAGCAATTAGCTTAATCCGATATACCAGTATATATAGCAGTACTAGTAAATATATACATACACTAATGATTATATATTTTTCTCACGAAATGGTTAGCACACAAAGTGCAAGCATGGCATGCACGACGAAAAACAAAGGTACCTAGCTAAGGGTAAAGCTAGCTAAATCAGCCAGCATGCACGTACCAATGGAGGTACTCCCGTTGGGAAGGGTTAGTTGGGCTGGGTACATCAGGGTCGACCATCACCTGAAACATGGCACATGCATGTCAGTCATGCAAGCGCATATGCATGTTAAAACTAACGACGTGCATGCATGCGTGATTTCATGCAACCAAATGATGCATGCGTGGAGACGTATGGCCACTCACGAGCGTGTAGAGTGACCCGCGGCGTCCTGTGATCCGCACCGTCGGCTGGTTCTCCACCTGCGACGGCCTCAGCTCGGACCCGTTGGTGATCTCCCTGTTGCCGTACATCACCCTCAGCTGCGCCGCCATGTCGAAGTAGTCGACCACGTCGCCGACGATCCTCCCCACGATCAGCGGATCCCTCGACGCCATGCTCGACTTAACTAACCTTGCTTATGTTTAGGTTAGATGCTTGAGTTGTGCCTTACGTGGAAGCTTGGTGTGGTATATGCAGCGGCGTACGTACTGCTATTTATAGGCGTCCCGGTGAAGTCCCCTCGCACAAGTTCTCAGTGTGAGCACGGCTCAAAAGATACGAGGTGTGGTGTGCCTTTTCGCCAATCCTAGACTGATCACAAGTACCTGAAAGATACCGGACTGTAAAAGTGTTGACGAGCGACATCGTAGAATCTGTGGCAGCTCCATCGGTTATGATCGGACGGATCACATGTTGCCGCCACAGAGTTTGGATTGTGATCCGACGAATGAAAATCGTTGCCACTTTGCACCAAGTGGGATAGGGGCTTCTTGGAATCTGATAACTTTCTGCACTGGTACATCTCAATCTTTTAGGCCTAGATAGTGGAAAGGGGCCGTTTGGAGTTATAATCTGCACCTCGACAAAATCTGAAGCTACCGTGCCAAAAATAAAATACAATTCTTCTTTCTTCTTACAAGATACATCCAATACAACTACTGGAGTACATCTTCAACATTCTCCTGCTCAACATAGTGTGGAATACATTCTTGACAGGAAACTAGCGCTAAGGGTCAGCACAAGCCGTGTGGTAGCTGGAATGCAAAAATAACGTTGGGGTTTTGGCTCGCAAGTCACCACCAAATCTGTTGTTCTCCAAAATGAAATGGCCTGGGAAACCCCTGCACCGATAAGGACTTTGAGTTTTTCTATGCCTCTATGACTATCACGGTGGGAGATGGCGCCAAAACGCCTTTTTGGGACTCCCCGTGGCTTCTTGGTTGCAAACCCAAAGATATTGCACCGCTCATCTTCGAGGCCTCGAAAAGAAAAGAATTGGAAGGTCCTGAGGCCCTCAAGGGGAACGCTTGGATCCTCAAGATCAACCAAGTCGCGGTTGTCTCCTTCGCCCACATTCGGGAATTCTTCACTATTTGGATGCTCCTAAATGATGTCCACCTGAAAAACCTGAACGAACTCCCCCGCCCACCCCCGCGTCGCCCGTGTCTGGCGACACGGGGGAAACCCTCGCCGCCGTCGAGAGCTCCCCTCCGCCACCAGTACACCCGCTGCGCCGCCGCCGGAGGGATGGCCGGCGAAGCCGCGCCGCGCTCGGGGATGGCGGCGGCGGGGCGATTTCGTTCCTGCACCGGCACCCCCGCCCCCGCTGCAGTCCCTCTCATCCGTCGCCGCCTCCCCGCATCGCTGCCGCCGGTCGGCTGGCGCGGCCGCACCGGGCCTGGGTTGGCTGCGGCGTGTGTGGCGGATGCGCTCGCCCCCCTCCCCGCCCCCTTGCGCTGAGGACCCTCCCTCCCACCGGCCCCCAGACCGGATCTGGCGCGCCGCGGACTCCCTCCCCGTCCAGCTGCTGCACCGCGTCCTGCCATCCTGCTCGGCGGCGCGGCCGCGCCCGCGTGTTCCTCCCCCGTCCGCCTCTGCCACCCCACTGGTGCAGCCCCCCTTCTTGCTGTTGTCCGTTGGGTTGGCAAGGCCCTTGGGGGAGTTGGCCGGGGCTCGGTCCTGCCTCGGTGCAGGCCACCCTCCGTCCTCGACGGCGTCTCTTCCGAGCTACGGTGACGACCCCTGCTTGTGTGTGGTCACGGCGATCCTCGACTAGTCCGGTGTAGTTTTCGCAGTGGATCTTTGTCGACACCGCTCCGGTCCCGACATCCATGGACCTGCGTTCTCCAGTGTCCTTGGTCTGCCAGCGTCCTTTACCAGCGCGGTTTCGGCCCCGGTGCACCAACGGCTGCGTCCCTTCCAGCCTCGGTTCACCGGAGTTCGGGTGGCTTCGCCTCCGGCAACACGGATCCGCGTTCTCTTCCAGCTCCGGATTGCTGGTTGCGTCGGCTGCCTTCCTTCCATCCACGTCGGCTCTCTACACTGTTGCCTCTCCGATCCCGTCCACCTACGAGCCATGTCGGCTCCAAAGCTTGTGTTTTTGTTGGCGGCAGGTGCAGCCCCACCCCCCTTCCTAGGTTTCAGTCGATGTGCAGGTTGGCTCCGGCATCTTCGGATCTTGACCTGGTGGCTTTGGGATCGCTCGGACTCAGGCCAGGCGAAATCCATGCTCGGCTTGCCGATGCTGGCAGCGACGACGCTCGCGGGTGTCGTTTTCCTTTCTGGAGGCGCTGCCAAGGCCTTTATCCGTGCCCCTCTACTAGCATCAGGGGAAACCCTAGGTCCGGTTCACCGGATCGGATGGCGGCGGCGTCACTACGTCGTTCCCCCTTCTTGAAGGCGTCATCTTGCTCGCTCGTGGTGTCCCCGGTGTTGGATTTGAAGATGTTTGACGTCATGCTGCTTCGGTCTGCTCCTCTAGTTTTAGGCTTGGTGGGTTTAGTTGTGTTCCTTACTCTGTTCGGGCTGAGCACCCTGTCTCTCTATGCTCCGGGCACCATGTTCATGCCTCTTTGCATTCATGTCATGAGTTGTACCCCTTGTTGTACTCATTCTTCTCTTTCTATCAATGAAAAGACACGCAATCTTTGCGTATTCGCAAAAAAATAAATGATGTCCACCTTCATGAGAAATCGAAGATACCATCGTCTGGAAGCACGCGAACGATGGGATATACACGGCGGTCACCGCACACAAGGCTCAATTCTAGGCTTGAGTCCTTCCCCTTTTGACTGTATGGTTTGGAAGGCATGAGCACCTCCAGATGTTATATTCTTTGCGTGGTTGGCAATGCAAGATAGGATTTGGACAGCCAATCATTTATAGCAATGAGGTTGGCCAAATTGTGGCCTCCGCAAGCTTTGCAATAGGGAGCAAGAAACGGGTGCCCACATTTTCTTCAAGTGCTGCTTTACGATTCGGATATGGAAGTCTCTCATTGAGAGGCTTGGTCTCGCACACATGGATACATCCGAGTGGCACATGGATGAATCCTTCTACGAAAGGTGGGACAAGAGAACTGATAATCGCAACCCCAATCGGCAAGCTTTGACTTCTGTCACCATGCTTGTCTCGTGGACCATTTTGAATGAAAGAAATGCACGGGTATTCCGTCATAAGAGTGTGCCAACGACCGTCCTACTCACCGCCCAGCTTTTGGTGACCGTGGGCGCAAAAAAATTAGGAGATATTCTTGTGGGCGAGTAATTCCCATGCTGTACCTGTGGGTGTTGTAAAACTCTAAACTCTATTCTCTCCTTATTTAATAGATGAGGCAAAATGCATAAACTCATAATATAACTGTCATCGTAACCTTAAGCGTGCGGACCCTACGGGTTCGAGAACAATGTAGACATGACCGAGACACGTCTCCGGTCAATAACCAATAGCGGGACCTGGATGCCCATATTGGCTCCTACATATTCTACGAAGATCTTTATCGGTCAGACCGCATAACAACATACGTTGTTCCCTTTGTCATCGGTATGTTACTTGCCCGAGATTCGATCGTCGGTATTCCAATACCTAGTTCAATCTCGTTACCGGTAAGTCTCTTTACTCGTTTTGTAATACATCATCCCGCAACTAACTCATTTAGTTGCAATGCTTGCAAGGCTTAAGTGATGTGCATTACCGAGAGGGCCCAGAGATACCTCTCCGACAATCGGAGTGACAAAACCTAATCTTGAAATACGCCAACCCAACATCTACCTTTGGAGACACCTGTAATGCTCCTTTATAATCACCCAGTTACGTTGTGACGTTTGGTAGCACCCAAAGTGTTCCTCCGGCAAACGGGAGTTGCATAATCTCATAGTTATAGGAACATGTATAAGTCATGAAGAAAGCAATAACAACATACTAAACGATCGGGTGCTAAGCTAATGGAATGGGTCATGTCAATTAGATCATTCAACTAATGATGTGACCTCGTTAATTAAATAACAACTCATTGTTCATGGTTAGGAAACATAACCATCTTTGATTAACGAGCTAGTCAAGTAGAGGCATACTGGTGACACTTTGTTTGTCTATGTATTCACACATGTATTATGTTTCCGGTTAATACAATTCTAGCATGAATAATAAACATTTATCATGATTATAAGGAAATAAATAATAACTTTATTATTGCCTCTAGGGCATATTTCCTTCAGTCTCCCACTTGCACTAGAGTCAATAATCTAGATTACACTGTAATGATTCTAACACCCATGGAGCCTTGGTGCTGATCATGTTTTGCTCGTGGAAGAGGCTTAATCAATGGGTCTGCAACATTCAGATCCATATGTATCTTGCAAATCTCTATGTCTCCCACCTGGACTAGATCCCGGATGGAATTGAAGCGTCTCTTGATGTGCTTGGTTCTCTTGTGAAATCTGGATACGTGACTGGTAAATGTTCTCCTTCATATAGAAAAGAACTTCCCCTCCAAATACCCTACTTCGTGGTCCACTCAATGTTCT